CCACGACAGGAACTAAAACCGAGCCCACTTCCGGGGGATCTTGGACGCCATCATCATCTACTAGCGAAAAACCCACTCCCAGCAGCACCGAACCCACGACAGGAAGTGGCACCCAGCCCACTTCCGGGGGATCTTGGACGCCACCCACAACGACTACAACACAGGAACCCACTCCCACCGGTACCAAACCTGCGCCAGGAAGTAGCACACAGTCCAGTTCCGGGGGATCTTGGCAACCATCGACCTCAACCACTCAGAATACTACATCAACTAGTTTAAAACCCACGTCTGGAAGCAGCACTCCATCTACCTCTGACTCTATAACTGTCACTGCATCTACTGCTTCAAATACAGAACCGTCTATGACAGGTATGCTGATAGAATGCACTGTTGTCAAGGGTGATAAGTATTTATTTTTTGACTGTTTATGTGATTTTATTTACATGAGTATTATGCTTTAGCGTCTACCGTTGATGATTGCAACGAGGATGACTCAACAACTACGACTGAACCGAATGATGATGATTGCTCAGATGATGGTTGGGACTCGAGCGAAGAATCTAATGAAGATGATTGCGATGAGTCTTAATATGATGATGACAGAGATGACCTCGGGGACCATTGTTATTGTATTATTGTTAAATTTAATATGTTGCCTGTTGCAAGGGAACCCGTATGATTGTTTATTACATTACGGCGTGTGCCATGATTATACATTGTGTGATCTAATACTTTTGTAGAGGTAAAATGTTTTTATTTGTAAGACGTGGGAGAAGTAATTTTTATACGAATGTTTGTTATATATTGTTTAAATAGTACTTTTCATACTGTAATCTGTTACCAATATTAGTTTAATATCCTTGAATGTATACTTTACTTTCTTCTTTAATAAAGTAGTATGTATACATGCACTGTAATGTCTGCTAGCGTATGCTGTATACATGTATTGTATTAAATAGCCTGCGTATTTATAAATATATATAGTCCCGTTTGTTATCTCTTCCACGATTCTCATCGTTTGGCGTCCTATTCATCTTAATAAATTGGCTGATGATACTTCAGGATACGTTATAACATAAATTATAGAAGATGTTGAAGTATCTCCCCTGAAACTAATGACTTCCACTCAGTGGTCAGTGATTTCTCTAATAAAGAATACGGGTCTAATTATTCAGCTTTCATCTTTTCTCAACTCATTTTCGATATTAATTTCCTATTCGTCAATAAGGTTATGGTTATATATGGGGGCAACTGTATGTAGTGTTTGATACAAGCAGACGATACCTAAAGTTCAGAAGCCAACAGTTCGAAACCCCCGATTTACAGTACAATACAATCAGAATATAGTTGCGCGAGATGCTTGAACTTTTTAACGCACTATCTAGTATACAAAATAAGTAAATCAATTGTGTTCTTATGTATAGGTTTGAGAATCTTCTTTAGAATTGTTTCTTTCTTGCTCTATGCATAACAAGAAGCTTCTGTTACATAATTTTGTTTCTACTATAATCTCGCTCAAGTGTACGGCATTCATTATCGATGCACACGTAACTACTTACTATTTTAATTTATTTATTTTATTAGAAAAATAATAAAATGACATACTAAGATATCAATTGAGTTACTATCACTTTATGTTGTAAACACAGTAAATATTTTTCTCTATATTATCGTTAACATGATGTTCGTATTTTATTATTCTCAAACTTAATACAATTTGTGTAGTTTCCATCGTTGGCAGTGATCAATTGTCTTCAATTATACTTTTATTAGTTGCAATTTATACAATTCTCACTCAAGAATTGAATGATAATTAATTATTTAGAAAATAGGACTCCTCAACGATTATGGTAACCTTGAAGTATGATGTCAAGGTACCTAGACACTTTTCTCCTATACATGTTATTGTCGTTAGACAAATGAGTTATCATTGAATATACTAAACAAAACTACAGACATTTTGTTCTTTTTGAATGTCATCAGATGATTATTGTTTTTTCGAATGCAATTTCTCAATCAACGAGGTAAAAGTACTTGCTAGGAAAAAATATGTAATGGACATGCGAAATGCCAAATATATCGTTTAGAGCTCTTTCGAACCATGATAGTTTTTTTCAGAGAGAAGAAAAACAACTGTATCCTTCATTGTCAAACGAAATGCGAAAAAAAAGGTACCTCGAAAAAACGCAAAACTATTTAAAATATTAAATAAAAATGATTGATATTCTTCTAACGTATATCTTTATTTATCAATATGATATAAATAATAAATAATAATAACTAAAAATAATAAAAGATAATTAAAGATACGAGTTATAAGTATCATATCTAATTATACAAATAGGGCATGTAATAAATTATTATAATTAATATGTTACTAATCTGGAACCTATGTTAGCGATGCACATTGCATTTTAAAATATCAATTGCAGAAGATGAATACCGCGTTTCCGCAAAAATATTTTTGTAATTCTGATTTAAAAAAATAATTTCAACAATTAACGATAAGACTAAATGCATTTTTATAATTGTTATAAAAGTAAAGAGATTAAATGCTAGCTGCTAATTTAAATAATTGATCGGTAACTATAATGAAAACTTACAATAGTGAATAAGCATTTACATTGTCTAACAAAATATTAGTCATACTAATTGTTTAGTCTTCTTTATCCGTCTACTATTTGTAGTTAAATCACGTTTCTAATTATATCCGCTTCTACTTTTGCAACCACGACAATTTTCAAATATTCATGAATCTCTTTTTTAACTATAGAATTACTTAACGGAACTATGGGCAAGCTTTTATAAAATTAGAGGCAACTCGCTGTACAAGAGCAGCTTTAATGTAGCAGCAAAATTATTTACCTATTTCTTCCTGTTCTTGATTCATTTATTTATCATTTTTCATCACTGAACTTTTTTCGATAGTATCAAAGAAACGTCGCATGGATATACACCGTCGAAACCGCAAATCCACAGAACCGCAAGATACGCGAGGACCGCCACTTCCTGTGTAATTTCAAATAACATTTGTTCTAAGAAGTATTTCTTGTTTCACATATTGATAATTCAAATAACAGTCAGTTTTCTTAAAAATGTATAATTGTTCGATCGAATATGCAAAGAACTGAAATCAAAAAATTCATAGGTAGTATGATAATAACGTAATATTCCACGATATTCATTGAGGAGTAATATTTATGAATAGCATGGTATATGTATATTATGTTGATTACGAATTACTTCATATTATTAAATAAAAGCCTTTCTAATAACTAGTTAATTAGTAAACTAGTAAATTCTATTACATCGTTATCTGATCGACTGTGAAAAGGTTTACTCTCGCAAGAAATATCTTGAGCAACGATAGGCACTTAGAATCAAGTTCGCGACAGAAAGGAGCAATTCTTTCTTATCAAAATCATGATAGGAAATTTTTAAATTCTGAAGTGTCGGTATACAAGAGAACTACCTTAAAGACTACTCGAAATGTTTGTTGGAAAGTCATTTATTTATAAATCTAAGAGTAGAATCAAACTAATATGCTTAGTGTATATTATTATTTCTTTGTGTTGAATATTTCAGAAAAATTTATATTTTGTATACAAGTAGCTCGAATTACCGTTTCTCATTGATCACGAACGTATTAAAAACACTTACTAAACAATATTTATGAAAAAAATCTAATTTATACCAATACTTTAGTTCGTTGCTGTACATGAACAGTCGCTGTAGGCAATATGTCAAGAGGAAAGTCGACTTTTGTTTCGATTTTCGAATCCGGGACAGCGCGAACGCAGGTCCCGACTGCCAAAAATTATGCGCTCGATATACCCACGTTAGGAGTATTCGCAAGGTTCAGCCCTACCTCAGTGCAATGGAAGGGCCTCGCCCAGAAGGAACCGCCTTCATGATCACGGTGTCCTCCACGCCAAGTAAGTTATAGTTGAACACCGTTCCCGATAAACTTTATCAAACCGCGATCGTTTTTTTCTCGCGAGAAATCACGTAGAAACAGAATGTCATCTAGTGGACGGATACCAATCTCCAGCGAAATAATCGACACTCGTGAATCTCTGTTCAACATACTCATTGATTTTATGCTCGAGAAGGATCAACTATGGTTTTAATGATCCTAGGCCGACAAATGAAATGAAAAACGCGCAGTCATTGAACTGTGAAAGTGTCAGGTTTACTGTAATCGTGTTAATTAGTATAAAAGAGAATTATTTATATCGATTTAAAAATGGTAATAAAAAGCTTTCGAAGCTTCAAATAAACACATACATTATTTAAAGAAATGTAACAGTTAACGATAAATAAAATAGAAGCACGTTTATAGGTAGTCTTCTCTGTGATACAATGTAAGTACATTGTAACAAGGCTAGCACTCTCTATTGAATACGCAGAAAATTTTGATTGTCCAGTATCGCTACATTCTCATATTTTATTGTTTCACTTTTCAGTTTTATTTTCTCGGCGTAATAAAAGAAGCAGCAAACGTACTTTAGCGATAATATTATTTTAACACTAATGTAGAGGAATTACATATGAAGACTTATTATATAAATTAATGCAGAACTTATTATTCGACAACTAAATGTGCAAGGTACCCGAGGTAACATATGTTAAACGAAGCTTTTTATCTTCCACTCTCTATTATTAAATATGTAATAAGCGTTGAGGTACGAGGCCATGGCAAGGAAGGAAACGAGGAATGCGGTACGCTCGATGCCCCGCAAATATTTATGAGTCCAGCAGCTTTTTCTCCAGAGTCGAGTGCTTATTTGTGTATCTACTGTAACGTGAAGATACCAAGGACACGTGGTGTTCAAGGTTCACTATTAAAAAAAGAACGACTGGCACAACCTCCGATCAATGTGGCTGCCTTGGGTGGGAACTCTAACGTGAATACAGTTCACCACTGGGAATATGCACATACGTACATATCAATACTGTCAAAGCACAATATAAGTATAAGACGTTCAGACGATGTATTTCCCTTTCTTCGGATAATTATTATAATACTCAACCATGCTCGAGGAAAAAGGAATCAATACATTAATGCACCATGGTAAGGTAAAGGCGCCAGTAATTGATCTGGTATTAGTAGTTGATCTTTTTCAGGAAAACTTGAAAGATAAGGTTTTTAAAAGTAATAATCTTTCGATAAAGGCGAGGTAGATATGCTGCAGCATCTACCAACCCAACTCCGAAACGCTTTTATCTGAATTAAATTGTTTATCGCGAAACCTAACGAATTATTTCATTGACGTTGCTTGTATGCCTCTGTTTTGTAATTTCAGTATTAATTTATTTTCATTTGTATTTATTCTTTTACTTGTAATTTGCCATAATCGTTGCAGATAAACGATATTACAGTAATCACCTTTAGTGTTTTTGATTTTACTATAAGTGGTTAACTACTAAGTAACACATGCTCAATTACTAGTTTTCTCGTTTTCAAGGATAGTCTACTTCTGACGCAAGTATTGAATTCTCAGAAATGTCTAGAAAATTTGGATAATACAAGTATTTAAAAAAATTTTGCTTTGTTACATAATGGAAGAAGTTCAAACAGCATTTTCATGCATAGGGTCCCTCCGTTTAATAAAGGAGCGAACGTTTACTATTATTCACGCAGAAAATGTTTCTTAACTGATCAACCACTTGTGTTTTTGCCTTATGTGTCAGTACAAAAAGTTTACTTCGTTGGTTTGCACGCTTCGTTCAGGAATCACTTCCTCAGATCGTGACCGCAGTTTTGCTAACGTAGGTAACATTCCAAGTTATTCAAACGAGACAGTGACAGTTAAATATTTGTATTACTTTATGAAAATATATTTTTTGTTTCTTCATGAAAATAAGATCAACCGCGACGTTATGGAATAATATCAAAGAGTAGAGCACCTTGAGATATTTCTAAGGTAAAGTTCGAGTGAAAATAAAATTTGCGTTCCAATAGTTTGCTGGTGATCTTCTGATGAAAGTGAAGCCAAATACTACACCAACAAAATCGTTTCGTCGAAATTGGATTATTAAAAGTTAAAGTGAGTTTGATAAAAAGTACACACGAATTGTTTGAACTTATTTTCATTGAGAAAACATCTTTGCATGATGGGTGTAAGAGTTTTATTTTCATTAGAAGATAATTCCGGCGATTACGTTGC